AATGTGAACATTTTATGTCTTATGAATAACTTACTCCACACACACACACACACACACACACACACACACACACACACACACACACACACACACACACACACACACACACACACACACACACACACAGCAATCAACAACCAACAACATTTAGAAACTTGGATACTGTGATGAAATTCTTAAATCACATCAGACATAACATCTACATCAAACGATAATAAAACTCATCAAATAATAGTATTGTTAATACTGACAGAATAATTCAAATTTCATGGATTTTTACCTGTACATGGAAGGCACGTGCCAGCTGGTAACAACTTTCAGCCCTCATTGCTTCATTTTCTGTGTTGTGAAAGGCATGCAGAGCAAGATGTTGCACTTTCTGGTAGTCCTGGTATAGAATTTTTTCAAGCTAATCAGTGATATGCACATACATACATCATGGAGTTATACATGATTTTCATATTTAAGAAATGCAAATGTATTTTTCTAGAATTTCCGAAAATACAAGTAATGATATTTTAGTTTTTGGATCATGCCTGTTCAAATTATTCCTTAGTTTATCTGTAACTGGTAATTGTACTTGCAAAATTGGTGAAATCTTTAATTTTCAGTAAATGATAATAATAATTATCTTTTAATGGATGGCAATAACCTTACCTTTTTGTAGAAGAAGTGATTAGCCAAATGGTTCAGTACCATAGGGTTTGTAGAATCAATAGTGTAAGCCTTGGAGAGAAGTTGGACTCCATTTTTTATTGATTCTGTAGACTTTGTGTTTAATTCGAGAATGGCAAGCCCAACAAGAGCACCCACACACTGGGAGTCTAACTGCAAAGCCCGCTCAAATGCAGCCCTGGAAATATATATCAATCACACATTTATGACATATAAAAATTGAAAGAAAAGAGCAAAGCTGTTGAAAACTTTCATCAAACAAGCAATTATAAAAATAATTCTTACCAAAACACACAGAGAATAAAGTTTAAATTTCAAATTAACACAAACAATAATTAAAAAAAAAAACTTTATTCCACACATATATTGCATTTATTTACCTAGCCTTTTCTATTTTGCCTAACTTTACAAAGCAATGGCCCATGCCTAGGCGAACAGAGGCAGGACACCTTGGGTTGGTTCTCATGGCTTTCTTATAATATGCCAGGGCTCCTCTGTAGTCTTTCTTGTAGAATGCAATACAGGCTTTACCAAGCAAGGCTGGGATGTTATTGCTGGACTGGCCTAACACAAAGTTGAACTGAGCATCAGCCTGGTCCATCTTGTCCCCTTCCAACAAACAGAAGTAGGCTCTCCCCAGAAGATGGTTCTAAAAGCAGAATGAAAAAAGTTCATAAATGTCTACACCAAAACCAACTGGAGATTTATTTCACATATTAACTGAGGGAACAGATCCTGTGATTTATCAATGAAAAAGCTGTCACAGTTTAACTCTACAACTGTTATTACCACAATGACCAAGTAAACTGAAATCGAAGAGAAAGATATGTCCATTGCTTATTTTCCAAAATACCCACCTTTTATCTGTTAAG